ACATTACCAGGGAGGGTTACCAGCACTGACTATTTCACATAGCCTTATTTCCCACGAAAAAGAAAATAACTTTTGAACATGTACCTCCTTTTATTACTGTTGCCAGGAGGAACACTCGACGCAATTGCTCAGTGTATTCACAGCTTTTGAGTAGTTCCAGTAAAAGTTAACCTACAAGAGTATTCTCTTGTAGGTTAACTCAATCTGTTCAAGACAGCGAAGACAGTATACAGTAGGTGATTAACAGTCAGTTTGTCATTCCAGTCGTTGTTTTCTATATATGTATGCGTGTATATGTCCAACACAATCGCATGGAAGTTTGTGAAATAGTAACGCAATGTGATCTATTGGTTTCATACTGAGAGACACGAATAGTCCCTGCTATTCAAGTCACTCGAGATGACATTATGCTACAAAAGAAAAGTTAGGTTTAGGCAAGAAAACCACTTTGTTAGCTTCAGGAAAAAACACAATGGTTGGTTAACTGCTTACATTTACGTTTTGGCAACGAAATGAACATTAGGATTAGGCACCAAAACCACATAGTTAGGTTCAGGAAAAATGTCACAACTGCGTCAATTCACTCTAACACTTTGGGACACACAGCGTTGGAACACCGGTCTTGTGGTTCTAAGTCCTTTGTTAGTTGGACCCATCCCCTGCCCCTCCTGCCCACCATAAGTGGTCTTTCTTGATATCTAATTCTACGTCACTAGCTCTGACTGTTGCATAATCGCGAGGATGCGCGTGTCCAACACATTAGAGAATTGTTTTTGTGCTGCGCTACACAGAAAAAAAAGGACAGTTCGTGTCCATGTGCTCGATATATTGCATTACTATCTCACAAACAGCCATTATACTGGGCTGGTATGTGAACATGTGCAGCTCTAAAGGGGCTCAGTAAACAGATGAATTAGCATGCTGCTAACTAGAAGAGGAAATGTTGCTCACATTTAATGGACTCTTCATTTTGGAGCCCTGGTGTTTTACTGACTTAACAACACGTTAGAGAATTGCTACTGAAAGAGATAGGCCTAAATGTAACATTATGGGATAGACTGTTTAGGTCATTTTCATGACTAATTTATGTGGTAAACTCTTAGCTAGTTGTCTTGTCTTTGGTTTGTCTTCATCAACATCATTTAAAACGGGATTTGAAATAATTAAAATCAAATCTGGAGGCTCCTTCGGTCTACCAGATGTACAGTAAGTGTCTTTTGGACAATCCCTCACATTACAGTCTGGTTATCGGTTAGGAAAGGATTTAAAAAAAAATGTAGTGTGGTTCAATTGTTAGTAATCAGTGTGTTTTGATAGACCTTCAACTTCCTCTTGAACTCAAAAATATCAGTCAGATTCATTACATTTCTGTTGTATGCAAACTGACATACAGCATGTGATCTACATGTTTAAGATAGTTGTTTGTTTGCCACCAAAGCATGTCACCGAGGCGATATATTCTTATTATTGACAAAAGCTTTTCATTTCTTTGCTTTTTTAATTTTCGTTTTATTCACAGATGTTATTTTGAAACAAATGAAGCACATGATTCTGTTATTTTTTACTGAAATAATACATATCAATTGAATTATAAATGATTCAGCATGGGATTTTACTCTGGAAGATATATGCAAACCTCACTTTTGTCCGAGTTACGGCACAAGCAAAATGAAGCGTTGCTACAGGTGCAATTATACTCTAAATATTGTAAAATGGCAATTACTAAACCATATTTAAAATGGTTTGTATAAAGAAGAAAATAAAGTGACAATTGATTGATCTACGTTCTCTTGAAGAGTCCATTAGGACGGTCGTACTGGGTCTCAAACACTGCTTATCATGACTCAGAGTTGACTGTGGTGCGCCAGTTTGGAAAAAAGTCAGAATCATTTTTTGGAAAAAGCAAAAACAAATGTTGCTCTATCATGAAGAAGTCAATGGATACAGTGCCAGTTACTTCCCCACCTTCCCATATTGCCACATACTTTAATACGCATTGGTAAAAATGACAGTTTGTTGCTTAAATGGTCAACACAATGACAATAGGAAAGCTAAGCAATGGGTTGGTGAACGTTATGCTTTGATATTCTATTCTCGCATTGGTGAAATAATGCAATGTTTGAACTTGAACATAAATTGTCATACAAAGCCTAAACACAACCAATGTGTTTTTGGGAAATAGAACAAAGGTAACAGACAATGCATCTTAAGACTTCCACAGTATTCTGTCTGTTGATTTGCAGCTGTCACATGTCCAAAAGCAATGATGACAATGGTAGTGTTTCCCCTGTTACTACTGCCATTGAAATATAGGGCAATAAGAGGGATGGTTTGACAATAAGCACAATGAAATGTCTGACACATCAATGCTTAATGATATTTCTGAAATGTATTTATTATATGGGTAACGCTGCTTTAGAGCTGAGTAATGCTTATGATACTGTACAACTTAAGCTGATATAAATACCACATGTAGCCAATTCCTTCACCTACATAAGCAGATGGAATTGGAGGTGTTGCAAGGAATGCCTACAAACCCTTTTTGCTAAGTTGTGTTTTTGGAGAATGACAGAGGCATTTTGAGGATATTACAAAAAGATGAAAATATGTTCAGCTTAGCTTTAGAGTATATGATTGCAGATTGACCAAGCTACATTACAGGAAAGCATGTCACTCAAATTGTGAAAACTTCTAAAATAGTTTGTATCATTCAGGTACAACCTGCCATCGGGTGCACTCATCGTGCCAAAGCAAATGTATGATGACAGCGATAAAGCGAAGATACAGGAATATGGAGAGTTTTCCTTCAGTAGGCTTCCATATTCTTATACTACACTACGGTCAGTGGAGTTTCACAGATTTGTCCAACATGCCTTACGCTGCTTTGTTTGATCTGGCAATGATACAGAATGATGTTCTACACATACGAGAACATCAGTGCCAGCTTAACATAGAAATTGCCACTCCCAGCTGACTGGGTAAGTCAAATAGGCACATTACTTCTGTTATTTACTATTTATGATTACAAAATCAATAATACAATTTGCATCGACCACAATAAAGAAACAAAAATAACAAAACCCCCCAAAAAACAAGTGCAATGTTCAAATCAACGTGACACGACACAGACAAAAGTACATAAGGTGTTCACATGATTCACATGGTAATGAAGCAGATTATTATACACAGGTTACTGGAGCAGGGGGACTGGTGAATGGGGAGCTTTTTAGAGATACGTTGAAGCATGATGCAGCACAATGCAAACAGGCTATCTACCCCCCGAATGACTAAAATAGCTACAACTTTAGTTATTAATAAGAAAACAAAACTGACAAATGATGAAAGTACCCATTACGATGTGCTTTGGAGAAGATGGTGTTTCTGCAGACTGACCTGCCATCTTAAACGCAATCATAAACTATTGTGTATAGATGTATAGATATGAGTATTGCTTAACTTTAACAATCATATCTATAGGATTATGAAAAAAAAACAGTTTACCCTACAGACATTTAACTCTAAATAAACAATGACAGAGAATCTGATATGCAATCCACGCTGCACACCCGCCAGATACTGACAATCTTTTCCATCTTTCATGCATGTGAAAGATGTGTATGGGAAATTCATACATGACATTCAATCACCCATGGAGCAAGAAGTATTCGAATGAACTCCCTCCAGGCTCTTTTCTGTACTACACCATGTGTTTCTCTTCATTAGAGACACGTCCAGCTATTCTGTTGGGGTTAATCAATCACGATATCCAGTGATGAGAAGTTTGTGGCATGAGAGCATAAATGTGAAAGTTGCATCTACCATCCATGGTTTTCCTTATAAATGTGTCATTCACAGACGAGACATGTATTTGAGGCAGAGGCTGAGCTGAGGGCCTGGCTGTGATGTCAGCAAGGAAAACTGTGTGTTTGTATGTGTGCGTGTGTGTGTGTGTGTTCAGTAAGTGCAAGGAAACGTTGCGGTTTCTATCCAGGTGGCTTGGGCCATCCTTGCCTTTCTCTCCACCTCAATTCAGGTTCTGGATCACAATTTGTCTTTCTCTCCTTCTCATAAATATTAATATAATACTTTATTACCCATTGCCCTTGACCCTTAAACAAAACTGGAAAGCAAAATATCAAAAACATTGAATAGGTCTGACAAATTGCAACATCACATAATAAGTAGAATAAAACCCAAAGGAACAGCAGAGGTTGTATAAATGTTGTGCTTCTTTAATTTCACTTTGTAAAGTCCTCCACTGTCCTACTTGTGTTTTAGTTTCAATTTTGTTATATTTAATATATATAGAGATAAATGTACACGTATATTCCGTACTGAGGTTTGTCTCTTGTGGCAAACAGAGGGCAAGCAGAGACGCTACCAGGAGCACACTTCTTTTTTCCTCTGTTTCTGGTTCGTCCTTTACTCAGCAGTCATTTGCTTATTCATTCATTCATTTAACAGTTCCTCTTCGTGTGTCTCTTTGTCATTCAGTTGCTCCCATGGTCCCAAAAGTTGGGACGGAAGGGAGACGGTCTTTGTGAAAAAGAAGGATTTTACCCACTTTCTCTCTCTGTTTTACTTTCTTCCTGGAATCCCTGTTCCCTCTTTTTATTCCCTCAGGTCCTTTGTCATCTTTGGTTGAGTGTCCGACACTTTGGTGTGTCTGGGGAATAAGGTGGTGGGGCCGTTGGGGATTGCGGTTCGAGGGAGTGGAGATACATGAGAGGGTCCATGTATAAATGAAGGTTGATGTAGGAGAGGAAGAGGTGACACGCTGACATTGATCAAGTAAATCTAATCAAATGAAAAGAGTGACAACGGAGAGAATGTAAAGTTCAAATGTCATAGATCACTAAGTATGTTTACCTTAAATACAGTATGCGTATGCATGTCAGTTGGTTATACTGAGTGTCTGGGGGGGAAATGATGAAAGAAAGCAGAGGAGAAGAAACTAGACGTAGACTTTGTGTTACCACTTATCTAAGAAGGATGAAAGGATGCAAGGACAGACAGGGAGAAAGGTAGAGAGAGAAGTATAAGAGCGCGAGTCAGGGCAGTGTCTGTCACTACAGACAGGTGGTGTTAAAGGAAGTGCTCATCATCTGTAGAGTAGCGACAGGACGCAGGAGAGGCCAAAGGTCAGCCAGCTGGCCAATGGGAGCGAGTGTGATCCACCGATCAGAACTATGGAAACAGACAAAAAAAAAAAAAAGAACAGAGCTGCCTTGTTATTTTACACTTGTTGACAGGCAATGCTGTTTATTCATGACTTTAAAATGCTTTATAGCACGATGATGAATTTCCTTTTTTTATTTGAAAGGGACAGTGTGTCGGATTTGGTGGCATCTAGTGATAGTGCTGCAGATTGTAACCAAATGAATACCCCTTTACTCACGCCTCCCTTTCCACGACTATGGTAACGCCAAGTGCAACACTGTGGTAATGCTGTTTGCCTATAGGTGAAAGGCCATCTTCATTATGATAACACTACTTTAGGGCAAAAGGAAGTCAGACAGCGGCTGTCAGTATCACGGTTTTGCACGTTGAAGCTCACGTTACCGCAGTTTCTCAAGTTTTCCCAGAGAATTACATTGGACTCCAGGTACTGCGCCAAATTCTCTCTAGAGCCAGTGTTTGGTTTGTCCGTTCTGGGCCACAGTAGAAACAAAGCGATGCAACACATCAGTCTCTGTAAAAGGACCCGCTTCCTATGTAGATATGAAGTTTCTACGTTTTCAGGTGATTAAACACTAAAACATGAATTACAAACATAGTTATGACTGTAATATTCCATTTCTGCTAATAGAAACCCAGAGATGCTACACACTAACCCTGTGACATGTTTTTAAAGCCTCCTGGGGACAGTTGTCAAATGTTTTGAATATGTGGGCATTTAATATAATTATTTGAATAAAAGGTGTAAATGTTACATGTCATTTTTTGCCCCATGTAAACTGTCATAAATAACAGGCTGAACTTGACATTACATTAACCACAGGCTAAGTTGATAACTGCATGTATACATTTATCACTTTGGCCTACGGCAGTCTCTATGCCCGAGGCTGACTGCAGCACATGCAACGAAAAATCCCCGGTGTTGCAAACAGTTTTGAGTTATTTTTGTGTGACGAAAGCAGGAGGGTTGTATAAAAATGGATCTGTGTTTTATGATTTTACGTGGAGAAAAGTGAGAGACCATCAGGAAAAGAAAGAAAGAGTTGAGTGGAAAAGGAAATACGTGGAGGGAGACAGCACCAAGAATGAAGGGGCGGATGAGTAAACAAGAAAGAGAAACAGAGAGATCTTACACCATGGCAGCTTTGAGATTTTAATGAGAAAAATAAGTTACAAATGATGTCATCATCGCCAATATGTGATGGATTTTTTTTTCCCGCCAGCAGGTTGTTATTATTTATGCACAGAAGAAGAGGCAGCACACACATCTTCTATGTGGTGTGATATTGTTTGTTCAGAACCTTTTTACTGATTGAAGACTAACCTGCCAGTTAGATGCATGAGACCCATCTAAGATTTCCCATTTATGTTCTAATCTTACTGTCCCACACAAAAGCAAAAATACACTCGCTTCTTTTGCATACATACGATGCATTCTCTCCTTTTTACACAGCAGCATTACGATGCAAAAAAAATGCAGGAACAATTTACACATGCATACTGCTCAAAGAGAGAGAGTTTCATAAATAAAAAGTAGGTATTGTATGAAAAAGATCAATATGATTTCAGATCAAGGGTCCGTCCTGCAGGCAGGAAATCGACATTTATAATAAAGCTTAGATCTGCACGTAGCACACACACACAATCATTCCTATATTATATTTTGCAGCAACAGATTGAATTGGAACATGGTGTTTTACATCTCTGTCTGTCTGTCTTTCCTTTAACCCATCGTTATTCATGTCCCCCCCCCCCCACAAGGTCTTGAAAAGGAGCATGAATGTGTACTTCAGTCATTTTGTGAAAATGATCAAGGTCTATACATCATACATCTAGTTGTTCTGTCAGGGAATTACAATGGAGTTACAAAGATAATGGATTACTGTGGGAGTATACAATGTATTTGTGTTTGTTGGTGCACATGTGTGTGCCGTGTGTGCATGCGTGATGGGTGGTTCCATGTATTTCATAGAACAAGAGAAAGCACAGGCATTTTAATCCACCCACATAAACCTGAGTCTATAAACCTGCTTCTTTGTTCTACAACCATCAAAAAGCTTACCAATATCTAAACAATCACAGGTAGCAACACATTACCACCAAAACTGTCAATGTCAATGCTACATCCTGGTGTCGATGTGTTCAAAAAATTGATTTAGCAAGTTCAGAGTTAATTTGTATTACTTCTGGTTTTGCACAATTCCCACATTCTCACAATATGATGCAGGGGATCCATGTGATAGAAGAGTAATAAAGAGACGAGGAGGAAACTCCTTAAATGGTAAAAAGAAAATACAGTAGAAAGTTAAACTGTAAGAGAGAAGCTCATTTTCCACCACCTCCTCTCTGAACACACATAACTGAGCCAGGTAGATTTCTGTGATGTATGCAGGCGGAGCTGCAGCAAACATGTCAGAGACAATCATCCTTCATCTGTGGAGGACCGTAGGATAACAGTCCCCTGTGCGTGCATATAGTTAACCTCAAGCAATCGTGAGTGAGGATGAATTGTCAAGTGTGTGTATTTGTAAGCATCCCTGCGCCCACGGTTGGGTAGAAACTGGTTACGTGTAATCGAGATTACAAAAAATGATGTGCTATAATCTGCCCTAATGGCATTTGAAAAAATGTGCAATCATGCTTTATTACATTTTTGATTATGTCTGTAAGTGCTGAATATGCAAAGAAATATAAAAAAAAAGAAAGAAAACTGTTTACACATTTCTGTGGCTGCATCTAAGTTTTTTGTATAAAGGTGCAATATTTTCAAATTTTGATCTTGAAGCGATCTCTAAACCCATCAGTGTGATGACAGATAAGCCTCTGGGGGCAAGCGGCAATATTTCTGGGGTTTTGTTGTAGCCAGCGGATATCCGGGCCACGACTTCCTTTTTTTCCCTGGGCTGCTTATTGTTTACACGTACGACTCGATTGAGTCACAAGTAGCCAGTTTACAAGCTCATTTTAAACCAATAAAAAGTTAAATCACCGTCGCCGGTGGGTTTCGAGAATGCATTCCGGGCTATTTACCTGCATTCAATCACAGCCTGCTCAAATGTGATTGTTTACAAATACTCAGATTACAAATAGAAACCAGAATGCGTACAATACCAAAATCTTTGCCGACATATTCATATGCCTATGAATACAGAATCTGTTTTTACAGATTTATTTTTGTAATTCAATGGATTACTTTACTAATTACAAAAATGTCTACTTAGTTTGTATTCACTAACTGACACAACACTACCTGTGTATATCTTTCTGTCTATCTGTCCTGTCCTGGCAAACATGAGTTGAATGTCATTTTCCTCCAGTCCTCATCATACTTCATGGTGTCAAAATCTGTACTCAAGAAACACGCATTTGTGTTTCTTTCAGTGGCAAAGACTCCTGAGTCGCCTGCCTGATTATAATTATAACCCATCTGCCAGTGTATGTTTCTGCCTGCACGAAACCTGCGGGACACACGTGCGCATATACTCTGAGAGCTGAGCTCAAGAGCTTTCCTCTTCCTGTTTACACCTTCATCCATTATTCACCCCATCCGCCAATGTCTTTACATGCGCATATGTGATATGATTGCATACGCATGACAACTGGGAGTTTGAGAAGGTAAAAGCAGGATGTTAATAATTCACTCTCTCAGTTTTACTTTTTTCGTGGTGTTTCCATGGCTCTGATGTTTTCTTTGTAGTAGGTCCTAACAACAGAAAAAGTGAACTACACCATGCAGGTTCTCACCACGTGTTGCTGCATAAAATCCTTCTTAACGTACTAAAATTCTGTTCATCTATTGCATGTCTGCTGTTCCTAGAAGTGGGTCCCTCCTCTTACCCAAATTAAAGGTGTCGTATGCTGTACATATACCGTAGTCCAGCGTTGTGAGTGATTTGTCATGTTGGTATGTATGAACACAATTGACATGATTCAATTAAAACTCCAATTAGTCAAACTGCAAACGGTAAAAATACTTTTCAGTACAAGTCAGTCCAGTATACAGTTCCTAAAGCTTAAATAAGATGAAGTCAAATGAATTGTCAGAACAACGACTAAAAGATCCGTTGTGTATTCTAACATAGTAATGAACATTACTATAGAACACACATTCTGATTCTTGTTGAGTACGTCTCCATTTCACCAAACAACAATGGCAATAAGAGAACGGAGCAAACTGGCTGTTGTCGTGCATGTATGTAGAAAGAGAGAATGCAATGAAGGCTATTATGAGAATTTAATGATGTTTATGCGCCTGTGTATGCATGCTTGTTTGTATGTGCGTCTTGGCTTGCAGAGGGCAGCTCTTACTGCAGCTAAACTGCTGGCAGGTTTTAGTTTCATATTCTCTTTCTTCTTTTAGTTCTTGGACCTCTCTCTCTCTCTCTCTCTCTCTCTCTCTCTCACTCTCTCACTCACACACACACACACACACACACACACACACACACACACACACACCTACAATTGGCCACTCTGTCTTTGACCTTTTCTCTGTCTCCATCTCCTCGCCACACCCTTACCCTTTAGGCTAGTTGAGTCTCTCTCCACACGCTTACATGGACATGCACTCATTCCCTGTAACAGACTTGTTATTCTGTCTGGCTCACCCTTAAGGCAGAGTCGGACCGACAGTATTTATAAGTAGCAAAATTGTATTTTGCTATTCTATTTATGGGCAGATCGCTTGGTTTGACTCGTCAAGCATGTCAGCATGAGGGGTGGGGAGAAATTGTGGTCAGTTTATGGAGTGAAACAACTCTCCTGGTGGACTGATGCTTAGCCACTGTCTGATCGAGATTCCTGTTTATCTCATTCTCCTTCCCTCGTGCTTGTTTTCTCTCAAAATCTGTATCATGACACACTTTCTCTCTTAAGGCTAAATAACAGAGAATTTCAAAGATCCAGAGCAGTGAGAGGTATACAGATAATAAAGAGGAGATGGTTTATAGAGAACAGAGGGTAAGAAGGGAAAGAGACAGGACAAAATGAAGGTGGTTGTGGAGGAGGCAGCGGAGCTGTGGTGTGGAAACTCACAGGATGGAAAGATGGAGGGGAATGTGAAGTAAATAGAGCGATAGAGGTAGAAGAGGGACCGCAAATGATGACGAGGCTTCCATGCTGGTGCCCTGTGATGTCCACTTGTCATCGTACAGCCCCCACATCGACAACAGTTTCTCTCTGCGCCAAATTCCCACACCTCCCCAACACTAAAGATGTAAAGATTTCTTTTGTGCCTTCAAAAATAATGTCTCTACATTATTTCCCCTCTCTGCTGCCCCTCAATTTATTTCTTCTCAGTTGAAATCAATTCAGTTCAGTTCAGCTCTGTTTCGGCTTCTGAGCAAGTGCTTTATTGGCACGTTTGCTGAAAACAAAAAGCTATCAACACTTTTTAGACCTTTAAGAATCATATCGCCTTCCTTACTTCAGTCCCGAATGCAACTGCATTCACAAAACAATTTGTGTGTGTAGATGGCGGCAGTTCATCACATTTAGCTTCTTTGTGTTTCTCTGGATGTTTATGTCTATCTTACCTGTCTTACCTGCGCTGGCTACAGTGTTCTGCTGCTTGCACTTCCCTAAGGTGATGGACACGTCATCGATGGCGATATCTCCCTCGAAACTCGGGCCTCGAATTCCTTCAAACACAATCTGTTCAGGGTAAAAGACAAAGAGACAGACAGATGCTGGGTGAGTATACCGTTTGTGACATACAGTATATCTAGTGAGTCGAAAACCCTGCTCGTACAAACTTGACTTTAACTAATATATAATGAGGTATTTTTTATTTGGCAGTATGACTACAGTGAGTAATAAAGCAATTGTTGTTTTCACTGGTTTTTTTAATACATAAAAGCCTGATGATGAAACATACATTGAACATAAATGGCACTGGCTTTTAAAAGAACATTATGCTAGAAAACAGACTAAACAAGCAGTGCAGATAACAATATCCAGGTAGAAGAATCCATCAGTATTAAGTATTTAGAAGTTTCTTATCCCATAATCATTTATGGACCCACAACAACAAAACCGAACAGTAGACTCATCTGAAAACTTTCCAGGCGACTTCCCCGTCTTAGCCACCAGCCATCTGGTTTTGACTGACAGCCTAATTACAGTGGCGTACCAAGGCACCCAGCTAATCAAAAACCGAGCGTATTCTGTGTGGAATACGAGGAGGAAAAGAGCAAATAAACAATGGAACTTTGTAGCTCCAAAATAACAACAACAACAACTCTCACGACTGTACTTGTTATTGGCTTAACTGCAGACTTTGGCACTTTGCAATGTTTAATTTTAAATATGATCGCCAAAGTGCTTGCTGTGTAATTTCTCAGCGATTTCTGGGGAACAGTAATATGGGATCATTTGATCTGTTAAGTGTTTTAATACAGAAATGCGCTCCATGCGGAAATTGTTGGATGGGCTCGCACATTTAGCAATATTTACTACAACATCTAGCCCCTGAGCAAGGCACTTCACTCTCAAGGTATTCCAGTCACATTCAGGAAGGGGTGTGAATGTGTGTATGAATGTGATGATGATGGAAATACTACCTGCATATATACGCCTATAAGATACATGTGCAAGAAAGCTAGCAGGTGCATTCATGGAGGGGTGCCAAATATGCATGACTGGCCGCGGTTTAAGACCTCCATCTGTTAACACAAATGTGCTGAGCTACAGTATCAACAGAGTATTTAACATGATGAACAGGCCTGCTGTCAACTTGTGTGTAAATATACCAAGCAGAAAAGCCTGACCCAACCCCTTATGTGTTCTGAGTAAATGAAAAGTGGGTGCAAGCACCACGGGAACCATCTCGCACTGCTGGGGCATTCCATTACCTGTGTTTTAATCTGGAAGTGTTGCCGTTAACAGCGAACACCGCCATCGGTTTGAAGTATCAAATAGAAATTCATGGGGCAGATACCAATAACCTATTCATTGCCATTGGACAAGGAGAAGCATGACTGTGTGGATGTGAAGTAATTCCTGCAGTGTTATCACAAAAAAGTCAAGTTAAAGGTGAATGAAGACAGACAGTGGAAATTGATAATTCCTTAAATGTCCTTCACCTAGTTGGCTCGGTTATTGTAGCTGTTAACAAACTCGCACTAGTGTGTATACAAGAAGCCTAAATTATTTTCCCCCTGTTTCTCTCTTTGCATCTTGCAATTTCCTCCAAATAGAGCTCAATCAATTACATTCATAAAGGGGAGGGAAACACAAGAGCAACACCACCTCTTTCCCACTTGCTTTCCAATTTAATCCCTGAGCGGGAGATCTTCTTTGAATGTATGAATAAAATAATTAGGAGAACCTTGAAACTGATTGGGCGGTGTGGAGGAAGAAAGGAAAGAAGCGCAGCAGCACAGGCTGGATGGGTTTTGCTGGTCGGCTCATTTGTGCAAAAAGGCTTATTTGATTCACTAGGCAGAAGGGATCTGTGAGGGAAACTACAGGGTAGTAGAGGGGAAGAGGATAATTGGTCAAAAGGCCATGGTCATCTAATTTATAAACGATACAGTGCTGTTTCTTCATCATGTGGCTGTGGTTAACATTCTGTTTTATTTATGTACTTTCTTCCTCAAGCTCCTATTTGCTATGTAAACTAATAGAACCAGCCAACAAGAAGGTACTACGCAGGCCTGCCTCTGCACACCTGCAAGCACATCTGCATTGAACGGGTTGTAGCAGAGACACCAGATTGTTGTATAATTAGACAAGATGAGAAAAATAATTGGGAGAGGGAAGCCCAGAGACAAACACCGGCATTGACACATATGGAGAGAACAACAGCACAAATAACCATCCTACCACATGGCAACGCAACCACGCAACCGCGCAATCACTTTCTCTAAGATATCAAACTGAATGGCACAGAACAAAGCAATGCAATATAACGGCTCAGGGAAACAGGCCTGTGTCCTTTCACTGAAATATTTACTGCTGACAGATCAAGTGCCAACAGTGCCTCACACTTAAACACCATTGCTGGGTACGGTACTGAAGTGAAGTATATCTCATATTTTCGTTTGTTTTTCGTAAAGTTTGTTTGATATACAGTGATGGAACATTTTTAGGACTAATATTGACTATTGATGTTTTCTTAAATCAAAAACATCAAGTGTATAGGGCACAGTATTCATTATTTCTTAACCTCACTTAAAAGTAGACAACCAAGTGAGGCTTTTCTAAAATAAACATGATAACTTGGACAGCTCTCTAAATACTAAGGATCATGAGATTGTGGAATGTAAAAATGGGGTCATGGGCCATAAAAGGCTGCTGCTATATCTAATGTGCCTGATATTTAACTATGACATTTACCAAATACTCAATAATCATCACACAGTTTACTGTGTGGGAGAGAAATGTATGCATGTACAAATATTTCTAGTTCACGTATCAGTGTAATCCTGCAAACATAGTCTTTTGGGGTTAGTAATAGTTCATGTATCCTACGGACAGTCGTACATTCATAGAGCTAAAGGAGAACAAGTAGCCTCATGATGACAGTTCAAGTGCGGCCTTCTGCAAAATCTCTTCTTAAAAAAAGTACAAGTAGAATCCTCTAAATTCCCATTTCTTGTCGTAACAGTGCACAGTGTGTGACACAGTTTCTCTGTGTGAAGTAGCCAAAGTGAGAAAGACAGCTTGTGTGTGTGTGTGTGTGTGTGTATGTGTGTCTGCAGGATCAAAGGGTGTCAGGTTGGAGTTGTGAATTTGTCGTTTTGTCGAGCCTTGTAACCTTTAATGTTCCCATTGATGTGCTGTCCATATACCAGAGGGGACACAGCCGAGAGAGAGAGAGAGAGAGAGAGAGAGAGAGAGAGAGAGAGAGAGAGAGAGAGAGAGAGAGAGAGAGAGAGAGAGAGAGAGAGAGAGAGAGAGAGAGAGAGATAGATAGATAGATAGATAGATAGATATACACAGAGACAGCTTTGAAATACCGGTGCAGTGTGAGTGTGTGCACACAAATGTGGGTTGGCCTGGTTTCCAACAAGCCCTCCAGGTACCAAACACTGCAAGGAACACAGATGGCCTCTGGGTAATCCACAGAGGAGCGAGTGGGGACACAAATAATCCACAACAACATGTTACCTCTTTTTTTGAAACTCGATTGATTTTTATGGGTGCATGTAGTTTGTGCTTTAAACATCTTCAGCTTCAAGGCCAATTCACTCTGATTATTTTAGATTTCAAACAGGAACGGGATTGGCAAGCTTGCAGAAGTGAGACAGACGGCGGTTCCATGGAACAATAAAAACATTCAGCAACAGTAATCGCTACAGATATAATGATTGACAATGTAATTGTGAAGACGCTCTTTCCTCAGTGTGTATGGGCGGCTCAAACAAGGGTTTAGTTTTCAAAGTTCAATAAACCCAAATCAAGACCAGAAAAGCTCATAGAGTTGCAGTTTACGTTTCATGAGTTTACAACTTGACTATACACAGAGAGTATTCTTGGCCTGCAGGCAGTAAACTATTTAAATTCTAATGCTTCCTTATCGGTTGACTTTTATAATGTAAAAGTCATTATTATTGCGAGCCATCGGCTGGGCTACAGCTCTTTCACGGAGGCAGGAAGGGAAGCTGTTCTCAAAAACATCCTTACTTTTGTTGGACGGAGGACAAAGAGACGGGAAATGCAGAGACGAGTGGCAGCACCTCAAAGGCCTTCGGTGTATGCAGTCAGTGAGCTGTGCACAGGACTAGAAAGTTTGTGTTCTCCGTGGACATGCTCTCAACATGAAGCAGAAATGAAACAAGCTTAACTATGCAGTCACTCCTGCACTCTGTGCAACAAAACAACATTTGTTTCAAATAAAAATCCCCTGACAATTCAACAGAATTAGAATTGACCCTGGTAAGGACATTACCCAACTTTGGGAAACAGGCCATTGAGATGGGAAATGAATGTAATATAACTGACATTTAACATATACCTGACTTCCTAATTTCTTTGTAAGATATCGAAGAGAGAGAAGGTAAGACAGAGTTAGCATGTAGAGGGGTGAAACTGAAACTAAAAGGGGAACTCCACAAATTATACTGCATGTTCAAGCTAATTTACTGATCAAAGGGAGTACCACTGCCTGTGAAAGTCGATGTATTATGTCTTCTGTGGTTCTGGAGGAACTTTGTCATGCCTGAGGAAAAAACTCTGATGATGTCATAAGGGTTAGCTGTATGTTGGCTTGGACACAACGCATTGAAAGCTTGACATACAAAGGGGAGGCATATAATTCATGAGTCAGGGAGGGTTTAACTGAAGATACAATTGAGCTGCATCATAGGAAGTGTGCGATCCGATGTTTTTGGAGCTTGAACTATGCTAAAAGGCAAGGTTGTCTATTCTGAAAGCTTCTGCAACATTGATTTTGGCCTATTTCATCATCTATCTTTTGCCAGTCCCCCAACTTTATGAAATTGCAATACTAAATAAAAGGAGTATTGGCTTCATGTTATTTGGTCGTAACATCATTCTGTGTAATTCTATGATTTAGAAGAGATGTGTGTTGTACTACAGCTGCAAACTCTCTCTGAACAGTGACTATAGAGATTTAAGATACCCTCTGGACCCTTTGAATACTAGTAGGTCCATGATTTTATCAGTGGGTCCCTGCTTTGTGTGTATCC